GAAAGATGGGAATGGTCAATCTCTTGCCACCATATTTAGAGATGAAACAAGTTTCTTTTTTAACCAGGAGTTGGACAACTGATGTAATGATGTAATATTTTTTACGTTTCTAGATATTTGATATTTTCTCACTGTATCACATGTAAGTGTCTTTTGTAATTGATGTATGTTTTTATTGTAATACAGAAATTAAAAAAAAAAAACACCTCGGGTGTGAACATTCTGCTGGTCTCTATGTCCACTCGGTCCGGGATCAGCTGGTGATGCAGACGGGGTTTCTCCACGGCGTCCCCGATGTCCAGCCCGAACCACAGGTGCTGCATCGCCACCTAATACAACAAAAGGAAAACACTAGTGACATACAGTTTATCAAAGCTTTTGTCGTCGTTAGTCATCCTCATCAGTGACAGAGGTGAAGCATAAAAAATTAAGATAATGAAAAAATCTATAGATACAGATACAGATATTAAGAAACATTTCAATGATTCACACACACACACACACACACACAAACACACACACACATAAACATGCACACACACACACTCACACATGCACACACACACACACATAAACATGCACACACACACACACACACACACACACACTCACACACACACACACACACATCCATCACGTTTCTGAAACAGAGAAGTCCCCTTACGTAAGCCGTTGCCGTGGTGATTTTTGTTCCTCCCGAAGCCCCGACCACAAGTCTGACGTCATTGTTCGAGTCCAGCACGATGACGGGCACCATGGACGATAGGGGGCGCTTTCCGGGCCGGATGAAGTTCGCTGTGGAACGAAGAGCAAAGCCCCTGTCTCACATTTAAAGGCATCCAATGCAGTTTATAGGGCGTGGAAACCTGATTGTTCAAAGCCAATACTCTAGCCATTTATCTACATACTGAGTTGAAACCACACTATGCCAATGTATATTGACCCTCATAGAGCAAAATTATGACGGAAATGGTTACTGGAAGGGCCTTTTTTGGCTGATTTTGTAGGGTACCACCCAGAAAATAAAGGACTCGTCTTGAATCTTATTTCTATTCTGTAGGTTTAAAATACCAAAGTATGAAATACTGACTTAAATGTGCTAATGTCAAGCAGTATGTGGCAATATCACAAAGATTGCCTTTTTCAGAATATTTCCAGTTTTAGTTCGGTTTATCCCATTGCTAAGGCCATGGAGGTAACTTTACCTCCATGCTAAGGCTGTGTGCCCGTGAATGCCTGTATTACATACCCGGAGAAGGCGGGAGTCCGAACGAGTTGGTTTTGTTTGGGGAGGAGAAATCGTCCATCTCGTCGTTCAGGATGACGCCAGTTGAAGGAGACCGTAACTTTGAGCCGAAACTGTGACAACAAGCGAGGCGAAGACAATTACACAATTACACTGCAAAAAACACGACACTCAAAAACAGCCCTTCCGGTCTTAACCCTGTTGACGCCTATTCCGCGCCAATCGTGACACTTCAACTCCAACTCATACAAACCACTAACATTTCATAAAGACTGTTACAAATATTCTTATTTCCCACAAACTGTCAGAGATTGGAATACTTTGCCTCAAGAAATAACAGATACTGCGGAACCCACGAAGTTCAACGCTGCAGTACTACAGCATCTGAGGACGCATCGCACAGCTCCCCTGCACGCTTTACCCCAATTTAGGAGTGTTGTGCAGTACCCAAACAAGAACAAGAACGCAACTACAGGATAATAGGTTCTCCACAAATAGTCACCCTCGAGCTCTTTGTCAATCCTTCTACAAAAGTAGCAAATCTTCAGCTGATAGATAGATAGTTATAAACTTTTCACTCTTGAAGCAAGTAGTGTCCTGTGTGGAAACGTTTAATAACTTTTTTCCAGCTACGGTCTTCTTCAAGACAGTTGACCCCGTTATTCACGTCACGTGACCTAACATGCAAGACACGTGACTTCACGGACATGTGACGTACAGGACACGTGAGGCCGTGACGTTAAGGTGGCAGAACACAATTTTTGCCCAGTGGGGATTTCTATAGTTAAGCACCCCAAGATGACTCAATTCGACGCTGTAAAAATTATAGTAAGGTGCACTAGAGAATCACGGCCAACTAATATGTTGAAATAAATGGTATAGTCTACAAAATCTGAAAACAACAAAAAAAGTGGTTTGTAAACATCGTGACAACTTCACTTATATGGCCACCTACGGGAGGTCAACGGAACTGCAGCCGGCTCACCGTGGAACGTGGTTGCGTAATGCCGCGCATTTATACACGAACAGGAAAATCTTCGCAATCCAAATCATACGGTGTACAAGCCGATACCTTTCTACACCACACAGCACAGTTTACACATGGCTACCTCTCACATACGTCGCACTAGCCAGGATTCAAGAGTTTTGTCTGCGACCTTAACAATGACTTACTAGAGGTTGACGGTGCTGGTTGCTGACACGGCGTCGCCGTTGGGCCCCAGGACGGACAGGTGCGCCGTGCCGCCGTCAGGTGACAGCGCGAAGGACGGCCCGTAGTACGTGTAGTTGTGCGTCATGGCGTCGGTAATCCTCAGTCGCAGGGAGTCCGCGAAATCTCTGGACGTCATGTTTCTAACCAGCTGTCGGGCAGTAACAGAGACTTCAACTTTCAGGCACCAATCAGTAAGTTAGTATTGGAAATATGATTGACAAGAATAGTGATAAGAATATCTGCATGATATTGAAATACAATGTCTCCTATTAGCACATGTGTATTATTATTTCGTCTTTTGAGTCACTGTGTTTTAAAACAACACAGAAACAAGCCACACAGAGAATTCGGCTTATTGCACACTGTCGTGAAACAATCTTTCCTTTCCTACCTCAATTCAGATACCTACGAACACAGAAGAAAAAGAACACATCTGATGTGTTCACTTTCTTCTGTGTTGATCAGAGGGGAATCCCTAGCCTCTACCAGGCCTCAGACGCGGCTGGAAAGAATAGACATTGGCCTAATAGAAAGATAACGTGCCAGGGGAGTTGGTCCGCTAAAGTAGTAAATTTGACCCTCCGTTATGTTACATGAATCTGTCTATTTGGCTAATTTCTACTCTTTTCGGCCACTTCTGAGGGAACTAGGCTAGGGAACCTAAACATGTACATATAACACTTGAAGGTAGTGAAAGCATATAAACGTTCAGAACAAACCTCGTCGATGTCTACAAAGTTGGGATCTCCCAGCTCCGTTCTCTTGGCGTAGGCAAACTTGAATGCTTCTATAATCCTGTGGTACGTCAGGACCTGGTTATCAACTCCGTCTACACTGGTGGCGTTCAGACCGTAACCTGGAAGTTCAAAAATCGGTAGTGTAAAATAAAGGCTGAGATCGGCCGAGATTCAAACTCGCGACCTCTCGACCATACAGGCCACATAACAAGACTGGTGACGTGGGTGAAGTCATTACCTGGGCACTAGAAAATATGTCATTGTGTTGTTTAAAAATATAGATAAGACTATCACCCAAAGATAAGACTACGACCCAAAAACCGCTAGAGTAGCGATGTCCAGACCCATGAGATACAAAATTGGGAGTTCTGCTGCAGTACCTAGAAAGCCGCCAGGGGGCCCCAACATCTAACCTAACCACATCTCAAATTCCAATGCATAGCTTCTTAGGCGAATCAAGAGTTGTCCTACTCAATCACAAATATCATAAATACACTACCAAAAACCCAAACTTCTTGGCGAAGACAACAACGTCTTCCTACCGTCTAAGATGTTGAGGATGAGACTTAAGACGGGTCCGCTTGCTGGAGGAGGAGGCGACAAGACGGTCAGGCCTCCCGCCAGGGAGATGTTGAGAGGTGACGTCACTTCCACCTGGTAGTCCCGGAGGTCCTGCTCTGTGATGATTCCATCTGCGGCACAAAACAGATTTTCGTATCACATGTGACAAATTTCCAACGGAACCGTACGCCATAGAACCGGCCAACCGCCTGTCTTTCCGGGTACGGCCAGAATTTTTGAGCAGGTACGGCTTGAAAGGAGTTTGATGGGGGTGTAGGTGGGTAGACCAGCTGAGCGCAGACCTGAGCACCATGGGCCTTGATGGAGCCACAGCCTGGCAGAGGGCGCAGGACAGATCTGACTGGAAGTGAACTTGGATAGGCGCTACTCTCCCCTACACACAGATTATACAGAGACCGATCCACTGTCGCCTTCATCAGGATAATTAATGACCACTTCAAAACGTAATCTCGCGAGAGCTACGGTTACAATCTTGGACCTACTCGCTTCTTGTATGTCGTTCACCAGATTCCTGGCGATCTCCCCCGTGTAGAAGGCGTCTGCACCTCCATCGGCAACCGCACGGAGCGTTTCTGCAAGCTGGGGCCGCTTCATGATCTGGTTCTTCCCCAGAACGTTGTTGTTTTCGTCACAGAAGACGTCACTGCAAGATCATGATTCGTGTATTTGTTTAAGTGAAAAAATGTAGCTGGCCAGGGGAGATGGTGGCGGCCATAGAGGGCAAACTGGACCCTCTATGGCCGCCACCATCTCCCCTGGCCAGCTACATTCTTTTTAGGCCGATTTCTAATATTCACTCAGCCTGCAAAGGAGTCTGGTGGAAACTAGCTAACATACATGTATACAGATAATTGGGTGCACACGTAAAGTAACAACAGACATTAACATTTGCAACCCCTAATGTACAATGTACTTGTTGACAATTCAAGAATACGGTTTTGTTCGGAACAAAGACATTTTGAGACTGAGTCATACAATTTCAAACAGTCAAAATTTACTAGCATATTCTCTGTGATCAAATAAACCGATGCAATGAAGCTACGTGCGTTGCATTTAACCAAGCAAAAATCAATCGCGAAACAAGACTAGACTAGATACCGTATTCCAATGATAGGTTTATGGCTAGACTACCTACCACATGTGGCTGTCTGGACTCTCTATCAAGTCTTTATTTCTTTCGATAGCGACGTTCATCGCATTGCTGATACAGAGGCCCTCCTCCGCGATCTGTATAGCCGGCTGGAACAGGTCTCTCCACGGTAGCTTCCCGTATCTCTGGTGCGCCTCCCAGTAACCCCGGATCTCACCTGGCACGGCGACGGCAAGGCCGCCTGGAGGGGGGGGGGAGAAAACTTTGAGTAACTTCGATCTCATGACTGTTCATCTGTGTTAATTGGTAGATCAAAGTTATGTTTATGTTTACCGAAGGAAAACATATTGTTTTTGCTCAGTTTCTTCCAATCCTCTTCTTCTTCTCCAAACAGTGACCTCTGACCTGACCAATGACATAATTCGTTGACGTCTGTCACCATGGTGACTGGTGTTGGGTTACATAATGTTGCAATTTCATGGTCCGAAGGTAAACATTATGCATTTGCTTTGCAAAAGTTACTTCTCTAGTTCATTTTACTTTTTTTTATTTAGGCCATGTTGATTTAATCATATGGATGACATCCGCGCGCGCATTATTTTTCGGCCGTTTCCAAAAAAAAAAAGTTTTCAACCACACTGTAAATTGTACAAAATAGGTGCAAAATGAGGGGGAAGAAAACTTTGAGTAACTTCGATCTATCATGAAAGTTCATCTGTGTTGATAGTTACATGTTTAAAGTTAAAACTTTTGCTCCAACACAAAGCTTTCGACCAGTCAAACTTCAAGGAAGCCACATCACAGGGTCAGTCTACTGAGAAAGACCAGGGTGACTGGTGAGACAATTTCGTTGTGTTGAATCAAAAGGTTTAACTTTAAACACATAATTTCGATCTATTTTAGCTCACTGAAAAGCCAGCTATAGCTACTCTTCCACTAGTCGTGACATAGAAGACAGACGGTACGTACATTTACATGTACATAGTACATCTATGTTTATTGAGCTGGAGGAATTCTATTCCCCTAGTTCTTTCGGCAAGTGCAACGAACTGCCCCTCAAACTTGCTATATATAGTCACCCAACACCACAGGGTGTTTGTTACAGCACCAGTTACCATGCACTGCACGAAAAGTTGGATTTACCAAATGTTGTAAATTCAGGTTATGTTTACTATGTACACAGCATCTGGCTTTACAATGGTAGTAAATAACGATCAAGTGCAGAAATTTCCTTTACAACCGTTAAAAGTCAGGTATTATCGTACTTGACCTTTCTTTACTGCCATTGTAAAGTTCAGAAGTGTTTATTAAAAAACAAAGTAAACATTACCCAACTATACTGGTATCGGTAAATCTAGGTTTTCGTGCAGTGAAGTACATGTATGTTTATTGAGCTGGAGGAATTCTATTCCCCTAGTTCTTTCGGCAAGTGCAACGAACTGCCCCTCAAACTTCCTACACCCAACACTACAAGGTGACTGCTACGGCCAGTCTTATTATACCACGTTGATAAACGTCTATCCAGTGCAGGTCATTGACTTTATATGTTTGGGGGAGAAGAAGAAGGAACAGAGCAAAAACAATGTATATATATATTTATATCATACTCGGGCCGCGATAACGTTCGATAGCGGGTCCCGGACCGCTTGTGCCCCTTTCGAAAATTCGAATACAGAATCCGGACGTTAGAATTGATTTTGTTGCAGTTTAGGGTTCAGTGGCACCAACTTTTGGCTCATCTTGCATTGAAAGGCGTGTTTTTTTAAGTGGGTATGACATAAATAAAATACAACACGGTGTATTCCGCATCGCGGTCGGGCCGATACCTCGGGCGATACGGAATACCCCGTGTTGTATTCTATATATATAAATATATATGTGTGTGTGTGTGTGTGTGTGTGTGTGTGTGTGTGTGTGTGTGTGTGTGTGTGTGAAGGTAAACATAATTAGCAGTATATAATATAGCACAGTCTGGATCATCATTAACGGTAATACCTGTTGTAGATGATGCCGACGCGAACATGTTTTCGGAGGCTCTGGCGGGGGCTGTCTCTCTGGCGTTGATGATTTGTGCCGTGTTGGTTTCCTTGTTGTAGACGGTCATGAAGAACCCCCCGCCGATCCCCATGCTGTGTGCGTTCAGCAGCCCCACACACAGGAGACTGGCGATGGCCGAGTCCACGGCCGAACCGCCCTTCTCAAGAATGTCACTGTGGATCCAGAATGTAGATATGAACGAAAATATGTAGATTGAAAATGTCGAAAATGTGAATATGCCCCTGGTGTATGACCGGGTTTGAAATCACGACGAGAAAATAAAAGTCTTCAAACGTTACTAAGCATCTGCCGCCACCAACGCAGAGGACAAATACGGGACAAGACAATAGTCATTTTCACTTGAGTCTAGTGAGGAAAGTCGTGTAAAGTGCCTTAATTTCCCAAAGGCACAAGATCGGTGGCATGTCAGGACTCGAACCCGAGACCTGTTAGAGTACATTAAATTTACATTGGGTCTTACATTTTTCTCGCTTCGGAGGTAGGTAGAGGTTATTCAAACGTACTTGCCGATCTCCGAGCACTTCCCGGCGTCCGCTGCCACGGCAGCCTGTCCGTACGGCCCGCCGCTGCCCACAGGCGGACTGTCCGGGGTGCAGGAGTCCCCCACTGCCTTCCTCTGGCTGGTCGCCTTCCTCGTCAGCCCGATGCCCAGACCAACTGCAAGCGCCACCGCCACCACCAGGCACACGGCTAGGACAATGGCGAGAGATTTCTTTTCCATCTTCTGACAGATGCGCTGAGACTGTTGCTTCTGTAAACTGAACAAACATCGACACATGTGTTTAAAAGCATGTTATTAGCAGTACACGACCAGTCCGATGGCTAGAGATTTCTTAGACATGATGCGCTGAGATTGTTGCTTCTGTAAACTAGACGTGACAAGGAACATCGACACAGCTGTTAGTATGTTGCGACAAAACGGTCCTGTAGGTTTGTTTTCATTTTGTTTAAAACATTATTCGTAGTTGCTCGTACGAAATCTGGCAGCACAGCACACACGACCAGACCGACGGCAAGAGATTTCTTAGACATCTTCTTACAGATGGGTTGAGACTGTTGCTTCTGTAAACTGAACAAACAGGAAAACATCGAGGCATGTATTGTCACGTCGCGATACAGCAGGAGTGTTATATAACTGAGTGTATAGATCATTGGTGTGTGACAAGTAGAAGACGAAGCCAGCGCCACCACCAGGCACACAGCCAGACCGATGGCCAGAGATTTCTTAGACATCTTTTTACAGATGGGTTGAGATTGCTGCTTTTGTAAACTGAATAAACATCAAAACATCCGTTAGTATGTTGCGACACAACAGGTCTGTAGGTTTCATATTGTTTACCACTTTCGTAGTTGCTCGTACGAAATCTGGCAGTACAAGACGAGAACGACGGCTAGAGATTTCTTGGACATCTCCTTCCAAATTCGCTGAGATTGTTGCTTCTGTAAACTGAACAAACAACAAAACATCGAGTCATGTATGAGCACGTCGCGACACTACAGGAGTGTTATATAACTGAATGAATAGATCAACAAGAATTCGACGAAACTGTCAGCCCCACTGCCACCACGGCTAGGGATTTTCTAGACATCTTCCAAATTCGCTGAGATTCTTGCTTATGTAAACAGAACAAACAACAAACATAAATAAATTGTTGCTTCTGTAAACTGATTAAAAAAACAAGCATTGATTTTGTACCCCTTTCTGGACTAATCTAAACGCAGCTGTGTGCTTAGCTCTTTTCCCAAAAGGAAAGAGGAAATGCACCAACTCCCACGTGGTGCCGGGCTGGAATTCCGTTGACAGACTGAGAAGGCCATACTTCAGCCCGAGACGCCTTCGCTCTTTGGCGACAATGTAACCGCCCTATAGCCTCTACCAGGCTTCGGGAGGCGGTTGGAAAGAGTAGAAATCGGCCAAATAGAGAGATAACATGCCAAGGGAGTTGGTCGGCTGGACATAACAATTTGCCGCTCCCGAACTGTTCTCTCCAGCCGACCAAACTCCCTTGGCATGCTATCTCTCTATTTGGCCGATTTCTACTCTTTCCAGCCGCTTTCTGAAGCCTGGTAGAGGCTACCCGCCCTAGGCATGGAGCCATTTGGGATCTAATGAGAAAAACTCGGGCATTTGAAATTCAAACTGTCACTTAGAGCTAGACAATGCCATCGCATGGACGCTCGGTAGGGGGGGGGGGCTAACACGGGTGACGACGCATCTGTATAATCTGCGGCAAACCGTTTCAGGGTGTTCTGTACCATAGAAATGATACAGAGATTCTTTTGTTCTTTAGACCAAATTGATTATTAAAAAGAGTGAAGAATACGCATGTTAATTTCTCTAGAACGATGTACCTCTGACGAAGACATGAGATCTTCGACCTCTAGTTTTTTATGGAAACGGACGAAAATTCATGCGAGGGCGGATGTCATCCATATAATCACATCAACATGGCCTATAAAGGATCTCATACTGCTGCGGCATATTCTTCTGCATGCTTGCAGCTACATTCTGACAACGAACACTGTTTCCAAATTAGACTGAAGAAGCAGTTATTGACACGAGACGTGCCGCTGACACCGTGGCTGTCTTGTTTACACGTTTACTTACCGTGTCGTCTCAAGGAGGCTGAACAGTAGTCTTAATTAAAGTCTTGGTGAGAGCTTCTTAAGTACACAAGACACGCCTAATGTTCTACGAGAGCAATTGTCTGTTTGTTTTTGTTCTTCAGTACTGTCTCACGACTACCGACTAGTGCTTTCTTCATAATAATAAAGATTCATATCATATCATATAAACTGTACCACATGTTAGTAATTGTACATTGTATTATACAATGTATATGTATGTTGTTTTTTCTTTCTTTTAACATGAGTCATTGATCTGCATACAAAGAGAAGTCCCCATCGCAAATCATTGAAATGAATGAAACACCTTTAACCTTTTGGTTTGTTGTATTACAAGCTTAAAGCACAGATCATGATGATAAGGCAGTTCTGCATACAATGGCAATGCAAACTTTACATACCGTGGGGGGGGGGGCGTGCTGCAATAGAGATCTGTCACACAGACAAGGTTTCAAAGTGGTGGATCTATGCAAGGAATCCGACGTATGTCTGTTTCACTTTAACTTAAAGACCCCCGGAGACACGTGCAAGGTTCTCCCGTTTCTCCGGGACACGATGGCACATCTCAGGTCTGGCACCGTCTCAAACTTCAGGGACCTGTCACACCTAAATTCCCTACTTCCTGTATTATTAAAACCTACTTCCTGTATTGTTCAAACATTTCGCGGAAGGTACGACCATACTTGAGGGCCTGCAAGGGGGGGGGGTAGTGATTACGAATTACGTAAAATTTTCGCCGCCTATTACGAATTACGTTAAAGTCTCAGAGCTGATTACGACTTTACGATTTGTGGCTAATGTCCTATTACGAATTACGTTGCTTTTGCGGAGGCTGCCTACGAATTACGTCTAAAACGGCCTGATTACGCCTAATACGAAAAAGGGCTTGCAGGCCCTCATACTTACTCTGGATGCCAAATTAGTATCGGGCCGTTAGCCGTTTTCCTTCGGCAGCCAGGAGCCCTTCCCCCACCTATCTAAATTACCGCCACGGAGGAGTTGAGCCCAGGAGAATTTGTCCGGCCCTATACTAGTTTGGCACCCAGGGTAGATCATACTAGCCAAGATGCCATACTGGCAGGCCAAATACATTTAATAGTCAGTTAGACCATTGGAAGAGATTTGTCTGTAGTGAATTAAAAAATTTCCTTGGTGACATGTTGGCCCTGGAGCCGAGAAGCTTAATCTCCAAGCAGATCTTTTGGTGGGGGTAGGACAGTATCAAATTGGCCAGTCTGTATCCATTTCCCCATTTGGGGCCATTTGGTGGTGGTAGCGACAAAAAGGGGGCCATATATAAAAAGCAAACGATCTTCCACCATCAACCTCTGCTTGGAGAGTAGAGAAGCTAGCCTGTATACTTAAACCCTGGCAACAGTCTGGAACCCAGGCTACGATCATGTATTAAACGTACCCTGGAGCCCACCAAAAAGCCTGTTGGAGACTATCCTAGCCTCGTGGGTTGACAATGTTTACAAATTATCGATGACAGAGATTAAAGTTCAATTACTTCTGATCAGCGTGAGTGATAAGTACGGAAATGTGTAAATTAAAACCACGCCGTCCTGCATACCCCTGCTGTGCCTTCTATCCTAGGAACGCGCGCTATGTAGGACATTAGCCTCCACCAGGCCTTTCTACGGGAATACGGATCGTAGAATTCGGCAAAAAAAGAGGGTAAAATTGGCCAAGGGAGTCCGGCCGCGGGGAGGTAGCTTCTTTCCCTCCTGCGCGGCCTGTCAAACCTACAAGGCGGCCAAACTCCCCTGGCAAATATTCTCCTATATATAACCAGCGTAGTTCTGGTAGACTCGGACTAGACATAATCTTGGTCCGAAACGCTCCTACGACTCACCACTGTTAGGGCAAAAACTAATAAGGTAGCATAGCTTACATAGAAGCCAGACTGTGTGGGACCTACACAGGCCAGTTCCTAGGCTTAGAGCCAACATTCTTCCAATGAAAATGTACCGTAACGCCCAGCTGAGTTGGACCCTGACCTGACTTAAGTTGTCAATCAGGTGTATTTAATAATGCTTCTTCCCCTAGAATTGGTAACGTGTAGTGTGCTATGGGCCAGACTCGAGGCTACTATGAAGCTATCGATATCCGAACCTGTAAGTGTAACGTTACTTGTGTGTGACCTCAGGTATTGTTTGAGGGCTTGTCAACGACTATTATTTAAAACGCCGTGTGAACGCAGGTGAATTGCCTCTTAAACTTTGGTCAATTTCGCGTCGCAGGGAAACAGTGGAACGTTATGTACTAATCACTCTTGTGTTGTACACGATCATAATTCAAAACGTACGACACAGCATGTTGTATAAAACCAGTTAAGTTGTAAAACACTGTGAACAAGTGGACACAAGAACCCCCCTCCCTCCCTCTCAGTCTCTCTCTAAGCCTGTTTCTGATTCGATTCAGAGATATGATATGTACTAAGCCTGCTTCTGCTTTGCGTAGTACACGTTTGTACACTTTACAACTTTCCCAGAGCGAATACATCGGCCATGTACTGCTGAAGACAAGGTAGAACTCACCTGTACGGCCGGCGCCTCTGTGTTTACCTGTCCCAACACCTGAGTTCCCTGGACCTTGGCCGATATGTAAGACGTTGAGGGTAAACGCCCGGTAACCGTGAGGTGGCAGAAATATCGGGTTTCACTGTGTGTATGTGAGGGTGTGTATGTAGGGGTGGGGGCAAACTAGGCCATTCATACCTGCCAGGGAGCGTCCCAGAAGTTCGTGAAGTTACGCTTACAGGGAGTTATTTTTTATGAGACGTAGTCAGCTATCTTTTAAAATTCGCTCTGTTGTTTACTATTGATAGTAAACCAGCCTGTACTCTCCAAGCAAATGTAAGGCATGTTTTAGTACTTTTGAAAAGCCTTTCAGATGTTTTTTGTTTGCTTTCTACTTTGTTGGCTTGTGCTTCGGTATCCTGGCATGCCGAAAGAAAAGATGATAACTAAATTTGGATGAAATAATAAAAAGCAAAAATTTTGATAACAAAAAGCCCCCCAAAACGTCTGAAAAGCTTTTCAAGTCCAAAACATTCTTTACACCTGCGTGGGGAATATCTGGCCGATCTAATTAAATTTCACGCTTTACGCTTTAACTCTACATACTAGTAACACGTTGTTCGCTGC